CAAAAAAAAAAAAAAAATCTCCATATTTCTATTATACTACAATAATTTAAACTTAATGATATATTTTATTGTATAATTCTGTAATTCTAAGAAAAACCTTTATTTAATAATGAAAATCTATTTTGTTTGCTATATAATGCTGAGTATTCTTTCTTGATTTACCTTATATATGAATTTTTACTAATAAATCTTAACATTTAAATACCAAATTCAAAATAAATGACATTGAAAAACATTGTTTGCATTTTTGAGTTTTTACTGCATTCAGGAATTTTAAGATTTTATTTTTAGTATTCTATATTATATATTTTTATTTTTAAAATTTCTTGGAGATCGAGACCTAAATATTCCACATTTGTGTTGAACATTTTCTGTTTTTTTTCTTCTTAATAGTAAATAAAGGATACCAGTAAGCTATTATATAATTTGTCTGATAAGAAGACAGTTTCAAATTATCTTTTGGTTAAACTACATGTTTTACATAAGTAACTCAAATATAATACTAATCCATTCCTCAATGTTATGATGTTCCGAATACAATTCTTAATAAATGATGTTGAACTCAACTGAAGAAAGAAGTGCATTCCTTTATGCATGCTTATACTTAAAAATGCATAGCTTATTTCTTTTAGTTTTTAAGTAATTATTTCACAGGCATTAATATTGATAAAAATTAAAAATGCAATAAGTATTTAATTTAAATTTGAACTCTCTTTCCTAGATTGGAGAGAAAAGTTTGTTTACTAAAGAATTAGAGATTGCTTTGGAAAAACGAGAAGTAGATGTTGTTGTGCATTCCCTCAAAGATCTTCCTACTACTTTACCACCAGGAATGGTAATTGGAGCAATATGTCAGTATGTATTTCAATTGCTTAAATTTCTCTTGTAGTATCAAATATTTTATGTAATTTCATATACCTATATATTTTATTCTGTTCTCTGGAAAAGATTATCACAAAAAATTTAAAATTTAAGAAGCATGCTGTTTGTATAGTCTCTATATTTTCAAGTGTGTTTTCCCTTTTAACAAAGAGAGATTCAACTTCCTTCACGTGACCTTCTGTGAATTATATGAAAGTGGTTTTTTTATGCATTTAGCAACTAATTAATATTTTTGATTGTTCTGTTGTACCTCTGTATTAAACTTTATTGTTCAAAGTTTTTAATAAAACTTGAACTTTGAAAATTTTTTAAAAATGTGCACTATCTTAAAATTAGAGAAAATACATGAAAACAGTTAAGTCCTTTTTATATGGGATGGTAACATTTAATAGCTTTTAAACTACCGCATCTTCCTACCAGAATACATAAGAATGTGTAGGTTATAAATGTATGAATAATAGGATGATGCCCTTTGAGATCTACTAGGTGCCACAGTGTTGCTCATGTACTCAGATAGGATGTAAAAAAATTGTTGACGACAATCATGTAAAAAGTAATGCTCAAAAAAGGACTTTTTTTTCTATACTAATACCCATTTATGCTCTAAAGATGTATTGCAGTTAATTGTTTGAATAATGTCTGAGCATTTTTTTTTCTTTCTGAATATTTATGAAGAAAAAAAAATTTTTTTTTTCCTTCACCTCTCTGCTGTTCAAATGTATTTTTCACAAGCAAAAAGTCAACCAAAAAAAGTCTTTTAAGCATGATTTTCATTTTTCTCTCACTGTGACCTCTGCTAACATCTATTTTTATACTTAGTATTGATTTAGTCTATTGAATTAAGTAAAAATAATCTTAGTTCTACTCATTTCTCTTATAGTTTCGAATTAAAAAAAATTAAAAAAAATGTATACATTGCAATTTTGTAGGAGAGAAAATCCATTCGATGTAGTTGTGTTTAGTCCTGATTGCAAATGTTCTCACTTAAAAGACTTGCCTAAAGGAAGGTAATGTTTGATTAATTATCTATTAAAAATTATTTTCATTTGAAAAATTTGCCTTTTAATGTTCTATTATGTATTTTTTATTTTTTCCATATAAAAATTATTTGCATTTAAATCATTTATTAGACATTTTTTACCTTTTAATGCTCTGTTATGTATTTTTTTTTCTCCCAAATTCTATTACTTCATGCAAATTCATTTATTTATAACAATTTTTTTTCCTATGCTCACCCGATTGACACTCGTCATTCAGGCATCATTTGTGGAGCAGATTTGTTGACCACTCTTTCAGAGGCACCATAGTAAATAGGCCAATATTACACCACAATAAAGACACATAGTACAGAGAATGAAGGAACATCCATGCCTTGTCCGGGATTTGAATCCAGGACCTCTCTGATGTGAGGTCAGCCCCCTGACCACTACACCGTCCCGTCGGTCTTTTTATAGCAATAAAAACTTGGAAAATAATCATCTTGCAATTTATTATTTTGATAATTTTATTGAAATTATTTCGATAAAAAAATCTTAACAAACATTGTTTTTATCCCCCCCCCCCCTNCCCCCCCCCCCCTATTTTTTTTTCTCCTGCAAGCTCAGTTTTTAAATTTAAAATAATAATTATCTGTGAAAGTTTTCTTTTGGTAATTCCTAATAATTTATTATAGCATTTTCCATTTCATACTTATTCTTTTACCATTCTCTGTGAGTTTTTCTATCCATAAAATTTTATTGCATTTAACATTTTTAAAAATTTTAAAGGTATTTTCTTAAGAAAATAATAAGCTTTGAAGACATACATTTTATAATTTAAGATGTATTTTTCATCTTGAATTTAATAGAATACTTAATAATAAAAAAAGCATTTGTTTTAAAAAATGTCTATGTCAAAAACTTAGAAGGGAAAAAAAAACTAAAATTGAAAATTTCATGAAAGAAAAATAGTTAATGTTTTATTCACAAATAAAATTTAAATCTTATTTTATTACTTCTTATCTTATTATCGTATTATAAATATATTGTAGTATTAATTTGTGTTTTTATAGTTATAACAATTTATGAGAAAATCCACGTATCAAAAATAAATAAAGAAAAATATTTATTTTTGATATGTGAACTTATCGATTAAGTGATAACAAAAACTGTTATCAGAAATAAAAAAAATTCAGTAAAACTCAAATTTGTAACTTATTTACCCAGTGCTTGAATGGCTTTTATTCAATACTCTTTATTATTTAAAAAAAAAAAAACTTGATTTTTTGTGCCCTGTTTTGATTATTTTTTTAGTTAAATTTTATTTATCTGTCGACACAACACAAAACAATTACAGAAATTTATCTCCGTCGATTTAATAAATTGTGCAAGCAAAATCATTGTTTAATATTGCATTTTTTAAAGATAATTTTTGAAGAAAAAAATATTGCTTTTTATTTTAATTTTTTCTAACAAAGTCTATAATTTTTTTTTTTTTAAAAAAAAAGCTCTTCTGAAAGGTAAGAAAATGGTCAAATGTCTCAAGAATTATTAATTGGATCAAAAATCAAAAAATACGCACTTTAAATATGTTCAATCGATGCATTTGGTGGTACCAAACTTTACTGCTTAACTCACTTATGGGCAAAGGCAGAGAACAGCTTTAAAATTTTAATTTGGAACTCCCTTTTATTATTTGAATTCATCAGAAATAAGTACCACAGTTTTTCCTAGATGTTTCTACATTTTGGTTTACAGACAATGCTGTAATCTCAATATGAAATTGGGTACAAATTGTTTAAGCGCTTAAAGCTCTTTCTTGGCTTGGTAAGTTCAGGTTGTAAGTCAAATTTGATGTCATTAGATAGGTTTTTCACAATATAATCTAATTGGGTTTTTTTATTTACTTATTTATTTATTTACTTGTTAATTTTCTTATTTATTTTTTGATGTTGCATCTATTTTTTGAGTTATTTTATTCAAAAATTTGTACCTGTGAACCAAAATACAAAAACTTAAGTCAAATTTGAGTACTTTTTTCTGGAAAATCAAAATCTGCTATTAAAAAGAGGGTTCCTATATAATATTTTAAAGCTGCTCCCATCACATCCCCAGGGGTAGCATTGGTAGGCCGAGTTTGGTATCATTGATTGCATCTAGAAAATATTTCACATGTGTATTTTAAGAGTATTGATCCAATTCATACTTTTCAAGATATTTAACAGTATTCATACTTTTCAGACACCCTGTATTAAAATTTGTTCTTTGTACAAATTGTTTATTTTGAAAAAATTTTATAGACTCTTGTTTGTTTTGTTAATTTTTGCTCTAAAATTTTTTTAGCATAGTTGGAACCAGTTCTTTGAGAAGAATTGCTCAGTTAGGAAGAGTATTCCCACAACTGACTTTTGAAAGCATTGTATCCTTTTATAAGTTTCTAAATAGATAAATATTCTTAAAATACTTTTTACTTAACATTCTTCACAAAATATACCATCTGTGCATTGTATTTGTTTAAATCAAATTTGGTGTCAGATGTTATCAAATACAAATAATTACACCCATTTGCTTGAAATATTAAAAAAAAAAAAAGTTCTTAAAAATTTAGCTATTTTTTTTTACCCATTATCTTTAATTATAAAAAATAAGTAAAAAAATATGTAGACTAGAACTAAGAGAGATAGTGGAAATTTACGTAAACAAAATCCACTATATAAATTGAAAACATTATTTATTTTAATTTATTACTTTTTTGAGTTAAGTACAAATACTTTCTTTTAAAATTAGTGTGGCATTGCCTAATAACTATTTGAATGCTTACAGAAATCATCTCTACTAATTAATAAGGAGCTGTAAAAAATTATTGTTAATGTGTAAAAGAATTAACAAATTGCAAATTGTTGATTGCATACTGAAATTGTTTATCCATTTCTTTTTTTTTTTTTAACCATATGTATTGTTTATCTATTTCATTGAAAAAAAGTTAAAATGTAAATAAAATGTAATTTGAATATTAGACTCAGAAAACTTGATGAAGACAAAAATTACTCTGTTTTAATTATAACTGCTGCACGCCTCATTAGATTAGATTTGGGGCACAGAATAGGATTACATTTTTCTGAATGCTAAAATAAACATGAGGGGAAAAAATTCAAAATGAAAAAGGTTGCATTTTTTAATTTTTATTTTTCTGAAACCATCCAATTTAGTGTTAAGATTCAAATTTTATCATTTAATAAAGTGGTACATTGTTAAAAAGAAAGCAACAATTTTTATACCTTGCAAATATGCAATGATGCTACCTCTTGGATTGTTTATGAACATTTTTGTTTGTTATTGTCTTAACTTTAATTCAGCGTGGAAATCTGAATACTAGACTCAGAAAACTTGATGAAGACAAAAATTACTCTGCTTTAATTATAGCTGCTGCAGGCCTTATTAGATTAGATTTGGAGCACAGAATAGGAATGGTTTATATATTTTATTTAATATATATCTTAAAAGGAATTATAAAAAAGGAGATAAAATTTAGATAAAAAAATAGCATAATTGAAGATTTAATGTCTATTTTGACTGTGCAACTGGATTTAGATCCAAACACCTGTCCACATGCAGTCAAACCTGGTAACAGCTGCATTTCTGTGTTAATTGTGTATTTTTTCTTTTACAAATTTTCAAGCTTTATACCACATTGTTTTTCAAAAACCTCTAATCTTCTTTTCATCTTGAATTATTTCATTGTTGAGTATTGTTATTCTTTAATAGCATACCTGTTACATACATTTTAATTGTGAATGTTTCTTGACAAAAATTTCTTATTAATCGAGAAAAATAAATTATTTATCCTTAGAGATGGTTATAAACCTGCTATTATTTAATATTTTAGAATACAAAGTGTGCTAAATTAAAATGTTTTTCAAATAAAATGTATTAGGCCTTTATTTTTTATAATTATTATCTATAATTTGCAGAACTTAATCTTTCAATGTTAAAGACTAATCGATATTCTAATTACTCTAATAATAATAATTTATTATTAGATTATTGTTAGATCATTTATTATTATAACTCTAATTTTATTTAGTTTTAATTATTGATAATAATGTTGTTATCTATTGATATAAAAACTAAATCTATTGCACCCTTCAGAGGCTAAAAATAGGCTTTCCTTCCAATCTCCTTAAAAAAAAGTGTGTACCTCTACTAAAGATAAAAATCAACTCCTTTCCAATAATTCACACTTTCGTCAGTTTGCCAAAAAGTAGTTAAGTTATTTATGAGTTGTTATCTTTGTTTGTGTCATAAAGCTTTCTTTTTATTTGTTTGCATTTGATAAGTCTGAAGTATTTATATAAGTATTTTTTTTATCTCTTTTTGTTCTACAGATTCTTAAACCTGAAGAATGCATGTATGCTGTGGGTCAAGGGGCACTGGCAATTGAATGTCGAGAATCTGATGTGCAAACAATTGAGCTTTTATCGCAAATAAGTGATAAAAATACTACCTTGCGTTGCATAGCTGAAAGATCCTTTATGAAGTCTTTAGAAGGGGGCTGCAGTGTACCAATTGCAGTCAACTCATCCATTGATAAAAATGAAAAAGTAAATCTCTTATATACCTTTTTTTTTTAAAGGAACAAAGAAAAATTATTTTAAATGTGTTTTCAAATAGTGGAGGTATTTTATGAAATAATTTTTTTTAATGTGTGGAAAAAAATATTTTTTACTTTTTTATTAATTTTTTCTAATATTTCTCTTCCATTGATTACTCATACATTAATAATAATGAAAAAAAAGTACTTTTGTTTTAAAAAAATAAATATTAATTTTATTTGATTGTAAAAAAAATTTAAAAAATAGTTGAGGTATTTTATGAATTAAATTTTCCTATTTTGAGAAAAACTTGATTAATTTTTTACACATAATATTTTTTGAAATGTAAAATTTATCAGAAATAATTTATAATTAGTGATCCATATGTAGCTCCATAATAAAATTTAAAATATATTTATTTTCATCTCTGTTTTCAGAATAATTTAAAAATAAAATCCAGCAACTAAAAAAAAAATTACTCACTTTTTAAACAGTTATAGACAGGGTGTAAATGATTTTAATCAAATGATTAAAATCATGATTTAAATCAAATGATTTTTTTAAAAAAATCACTGATTTTAATCAAAAAAAAAAACAATTTTGTGTATAGTCTTGAACATTTTTTGTATATTTTTCTAAGTTTCAAACATAAACAAGTAAGTAGACTGTTCTATATATTTCTCAGATCTCACTCATATAATTCAACATTTCTACTTTCAATGTGACTCATTTGCTTTTAAAAACAGTTTACATATTATATTTATAGTTCATTGAACAGTTTACATATGATTACAGCTATGATAGCAGCATGGAACATTACAAAACAAAAACAACAACAGCAGCACCTGGAGTAGAAGTTGTAGTACATATTGTTAGTTGAAGTATAAGTATATATTTTTTGGTAGAAGTTGTAGTGCTAATTTTGAACTTTATTTGTGTTTTGCGCCATTTTCATTCTTTCAGTTGTGAATTAGTGTTTGTTAGCATACTTAGGGTAGCTGGGATAGTCATTTTTACTTATTATTAGCTTTAATTATAATTTGAAATGTCTGCTGGAAGGAAAAAAGATCCCATTTGGGTCTATTATAATGAAAAAATTGAGTTAGGAAAGAAAGGATCTAAAGCAATATGTAACTTATGCCAAAAAGAAATGCAAGGATTGGTATCAAGAATGAAAATGCATCATGAAGTGTGTGTAGCAAAAAATGAAGTTGAAAAGAAGAAAGATTGTGAACAAGAAAAAGATGCTTTAGGTAATTTTTTTATTATTATTATACTGTTATTTTTTAATTCATATCATAATATTTTAAGTTCTTTTTTTTACATTAAAATAAAAAATAGATAGAATTACACTTATGGCTCCTTTTCCTTTCTTACACAGATGTTACTGCTACTTACAACAGAGGAACAGATAATAAAGCTCAAATTGAAAGCCAAAATCTGCCAGATCCTTGTAATAAGCGTATTCAGTGTGATGAAGATTTGACTGCTACTGATACTGACATAAAGATAAAGAAATTCAAGACTACAGGTATTAGCCCATTTATAGTGAAAATGCCAACCAATCTTAAAGATACACTAGATTTACAAGTAGCCAAATTCTTTTTTTCCTCCAACATATACCTTTTCGATCTGTTGAAAATCCACATTTTCTTAAGCTAATGCAAATGCTAAGACCTGGGTATAAACCCCCGAGTGAAATTGATTTAGGCAATCGTCTCTTAAGTGCTGTTCATGAACATGAGATAGAAAAGATTACTGGTGAATTATCTGAACAAACGGTATGTATGTCAGTGGATGGTTGGTCTAATATACACAATCAACCATTACTTTGTGCATGTGTTACTACTATGGAAGGTAATACTTATTTAGTAGACACAATCGACACATCCTTAACATCACATACTANTGTTGCTAAACGAATATAGAAACCTTTGACCGCTATGGGACTGTGCAATTTAGGAAAGATTCTGGTGGAGGTGGAAAAAGGGATTAGGATATTAGCTTCTGTTTTTAAATTCTGTCCTTGGGCTTCAGCCCAATTATGGCTCCATTTATTTCTCAAGTTTGTTCTGATGCTTTAGTGGTAATTTTGATAAAATGTTTTTGTATTTTCAACTTTATAAATTCTCCAAAAGTTATTTGGTTATAATTTAATAATAATAGATTTTATATTGCACTCTTTTTCTGAAAGCTTTTCTACTCCCATTCAAAGAAATCTGTGAATTATTTTTTCTCAGCAAACCAACCCATCGCACATTTTTTTACAATCGCTAACAACAGCAATGTTTGTCGACAAATCGTTACAATTGTTGCAGTAATGCTAATTTTTTTTTCTTCATTTTAACCTTTTATAACATATTTTAATTTAAGAACCAATTATATATTAATATTTAATTTTACTCTTTTGTTGGTCAATATATGATATTTGATTCAAAATTTTGTGCCAAAACATTAAAAAATCTTGTCAAAAATTATTTTTTTCAAAATGATATGCTAAAAAAAATAACATTGTGAATAAAATATTTTATAATATAGACACTTTTCTTGTACACATCCTAGACTTTATAAGAAAAAAGAAACAAAAACCTGGAAAAATCAGGGAAATTTGAAACCTGATTTGAGTGGTCACCCTGATTATCTCATTTAAAATGTCAGAAAATCTGGGTCACACTTCTCTGAAATAGTTTGATCTCCCATCAAGTAAACATTAACATTAAAAAAAAGGTAGAAAAGTGTGTGTTCTTAAATTTATTTAAATTTCAATATTTTTTCTAGCCTGATGTTATTTGTTATTTATTTAGCTGACGTTGTGTGGCGGAGTTTTTAGTCTTGATGGTTCCAAAAGCATCATTGAAGAGCTTAGTGTTGATCTTAAACCAACAAAACCATTTCAGTTTCAAGTAAAAAAGGTATAGTTCCCTTTGTTAAATTGCTCAAGTTTCTTGGCCTTGTGAAATTAGCTGCAATTTTACCAATTATTATATTTGTTTTATAGCATTATGCTGCCATTGTAGCACCTCATCTATCACACAATATTTTAAGTAAGGCTGAATCTTTAGGAAAGGATCTTGCTGATTTATTCCTGGAAAAAGGAGCTGAAGCTATCCTAAAAGAAGCTAGAGGAACAACTGCTTAAGTTTTTTTTCTTCCAATTGATTATATTTGAGAGATTCCATGAAAGGCAATATTTTTTTTAATATATTGTTGTAATTTTAAGAAATAATTGTTGAATCATATGTTTATATATTTTAATAAAATAAATTATGAAAATATTGTTCATATTTTTTTAATTAAACAATAAGCAAAATTTATAACATACTATTGATGCAAACCAAACATACTTTTATAAATGTACAGCATCAAAACACCAAGGAAAATAATCTGGTTTTTCCTAAATGAATATATAAAACTTTAGTCCATTTGAAATGTTAAACAATTTCATATTTCTCTGCAACAAATGAGGATTCTGAGAAATATTTAACTGGTTCATTATCCAGAGTAACAACATCAGCAACCTGTATAATAGAAATTAAAAATTAATTTACTGAATAAAACACAACAGAAGGAATGCACTGAAACTGGGCAGCTTCTATTATGACAAACAATAAAAACACTAAAGCCATGCAATAGAACATACAAAGACTAAAAACAATGAAGCAACTCAACATGAATACTTCATTCATATAAAAAAAAATTTAAAATATCCTTTTATTACTTCATTGGAGATTAGAGAAAATATAAGTGCAATAATACCAGAGAGAGCATAAGCTAGGCAGAAGAGAGTAGTCTTTGTCGATAGATCTCTATTTTAGTATTTTGTCGAAAGCGCTTTTTTTTTACGAATTTAAATATTACGAAAATATTTGACGATTTTTTATTTATATAACGAATTTATTTGTTTTACTAGAATTCATTTGTTTATGCAGGTTTTTCCATTGCAATTCACTCATTTCAATTTTTAATAGACTTAATTATAGCCAAAATTTTAACCCTTTTAAAGAGATATCAGTTTTAGAAATTTTATCTTAAGATTTGATTTTATACTATAGCGCATTTCTAATAGGTTTAACAAATTACATGTCATTTATTTGAATTCAAATTTATTTTAATGATTTAGTATTTACTAAAAAGATGTAATTTTTTTTTTTAAAAAAAGTTGTTATATGGATTTGAATGATTGTTTTGAATTCTTAGAATTTTGTGCATTTGCAATGTACCTAAGTTAGTAGCGAACAAAGCGAGCTTGGTTTGCGAAGCAAACCATATAAGATTGCATAGCAATTTTTGGGGGTTAGCGAGCAGGGGGCGCAGCCCACTAGCACCTATTATAATTAATAATTTATTTTTGATTCTTTCATAGAACATGGTCATAATAATACTTTTAACGGTTTTGTTATTTCTTAAATAATTCATGGCAATCCCTTTTAGAATGTGTTCTTTGCCTCTGCAAAGTACAATGCACCAAAAATGAAACTGGTCCTTCAGAGTTCCCACTCTTTTGACAAAGCAAAAATTAAACACTTTTAAGGACTTTTTATTGAAAAAATTGAGCACTTTTTTGATAAATTAAGGACTTATGCAACCAGTGACAGTACCAATTATTTACCTTACTACAGGGATGAGATTTTTCCGCTTTTTAGCTGATTTCCGCTTTTTTCACTTTTATCTCTTGAATTTCAGCTTCTTTATCAAAAATTCAGATTTTTCTAAAAATTTCACTTTTTTTATAAGTATTCCGCTTTTTCAGAAAATTCACCCATTTTCAAAGAGAAACAGAAAACTCAAACTACATAGCTACCAATCCTTTCTCATTTTTACTTATTTTAACTATTTTCTCCCCTTTTACTCGTAGCAGGTAATATTTTCCAAATTTTTTTTCCCGCCCTCCAGATAGATCCGATTTTTGTAGTTCAAACGACGCTGTTTCTGACAAGCCTTTTAGAGGTCCCAAGCCTGGAATCTGCTAATATCTCGATTCTTATTCACACGATTTTAATATCAAACATAGCTTTTCATATTTGCGTGTTGCGATTCTTATTCACGCGATTTGAAGGCACATGTT